CATAGACAGATCAGGCCCAATCCGCATATGTATAAGCAGAAATAGAATAAGTGATGTAACGTGAAAAAAATAAACTTGAGCTCAGTGTGCCTTTTAAGTAATGAAGAATCCTGTAGACAACTCGGAGATGGTGCTCAAATGGATAATACATGAACTGACTCACAATATCTATTATGTGATAAATATCGGGGCGAGTATAGGTAAGGTAAAAAAGTTTTCACACAAATCATTGGTAGTGAATCTTGTTCACCGGAATCGCACTAAGAACATCAGTTAATTTCTCATTGGGATTGATTCAGACTGTTACTGGTATGCAAAGAAAAAGGTTATTCTTTGTCAATAGATCAAACAAATATTTGCACTGATACAAACAAATGTCCCGAGATGACCGAGCAACTTTCAAGCCTAAGAAGTACCACAGTGCCCCCAAGTCCTTCATTTCAAATGAAATAGCAAGAATATCTTATAGAGATTCCAATCTTGGTAGATCATTAGCTATGAGCACAATATCGTCGACATAGACGATAAGGATAACAATTTTGCCGGTGGAGGAATGCTGAAAGAAGAGAGTATGATCTGATTGGGCCTGTGAAAAAATATGATCCATTACCACCTTTGTGAATTTGTCAAAACCAGGCCCTTGGGGATTGCTTCAGTCCATAGAGGGACTTCTGCAGTCGGCACACTTATCCCCAGGGAACAATAGAGCCAAAGCCTGGAGGGCGGCACATGTACACCTCATCTGTGAGATCCTCATTTAGGAACGCATTTTTAACATACAGTTGGAGCAAAGGCCGGTCCAAATTTACAGCAAGAGAAAGTAGGACCCAAATAGTGTTTAATTTAGCAACTAACGCAAAAATCGCCTCATAATCAACTTTGTATCTTTGTGAGCAATCATTGGCAACTAACGTGTCTTATTGTGTTCAAAGAATCTATCGAAGTTAAACTTGGTACTAAAAATCCAACAACGCCCTACTGCTTTCTTACCTAGAGGAAGGTCCACAACATCTAATGTATGATTTCGCTAAAGAGCATTCATTTCATCCATTATTGCAGCTTTCCAAGAAGGATCAACTAATGCTGCTTCAATTGTGGATAGGAGGTGATGATCCGTCATAGCATCAGCAAATGCTTTCTAGGTCGACAATACACTGTGGAAAGAAATATATTTTTTTATGGAATAAAGAGAGCTTGTCTGATTACATACCTCGACAAAAGAACTCACCTTGTTCAGAGTGGTGTTAATTTTAAGGATGTCACTTGGAGCGAATTCTATGTCCTGTACAGAGGTAGCGGGCTCCAGAGTGGGACCATGAGTGCGCCAAGTATAGACACGGAGAATGAGAGGAGGTTCTGGTTGTTTGATAGGTGGTGGATCCAAAGGGATAGAAGGCTCTTCGGATATAGTGGTTGGAGAAATATCACAGGGGTCGGATAAAGAGAAGTGTCCAAGAAATCACGTTCCCTTCACTTGAGGCAGTGGCAGGGAAGCGGGGAACACTTTTAAATAAGGAAACATCTGCACTTACATGGAGTTTATTTAAGATAGGATCAAAACACTAATAGCCTTTTTGAGTGGCAGAATATTCGAGAAAGGCACATTTTATAGACTTGGGATCAAGCTTACTAAGATTAGGGGTAATGTTCCGAATAAAGACAGAGCACCCAAAAATTTTAGGTTCAAGATTGGTGAAGAAAAGATTGGTGAAGAACCGATTGGTAGAAAAACATGACATTAAGATGCCTAAGTGAGCTCTAAAACTATGAGTTTTTGTGGGAATTCTATTGATGAGATAGGTGGTAGTAAGCATGACATTATTCCAAAACCTTTTCGAGACATTAGATTGATACATAATGGATCAAGCTACTTCGAGAAGGTGTCGGTTTTTTCTTTCGGCTGCCCCATTTTGTTGAGGAGTGTCCATACATGAGCTATGATGGATAATGTCCTTACTTACCAAGAACTCACCTAAAATAGAATTAAAAAATTCACGACCACTATCGGTTGGAAGAACTTGAATTGAAATTTTGAATTGGATCAAAATAAACGAGTGAAGGTTTTTAAAGGTAACTGCAGCTTCATATTTATCTTTTAGGATATAGAACCACATCATTCGAGTGTGAAAATCAATTATAGTAACGAACCACCGTTTATTAGTGTAGCTGCGAGTGCGAAAGAGTCCCCACAAGTCACTGTGAATAAGAGAAAAGTGAGCGGAAGGCATGTAAGGATGAGATGGATAAGGAACGTGATTATGTTTAGTTAATTGACAAACCTCACATTTGAAGTTAGCAAGATTTTTATTAGTAAACATCGACGGATACAATTGTTTTAAATAGGATACAATTGTTAAATACTGAAAACTGTGATGAGCTAAACGATAATGCAACAGCATAATAGGACATTCAGTTGATCGAGAAAAAAATGCAACTATTAGAAGTGCCCTCATTCTCAGTGTCTTTCTCTCCAAAGAAGTAGAACCTAGTTACTCTTTTAGCAATTCCAATCATCCTCCCTAAAAGACGATCCTGCAAGAAACAAACATCAGGAGAAAAATTAGTAACTCAATCCATATCATGTGTCAGCTTACTAACAAATAGCAGGTTACACTTCAACAGAGGGACATGTAACACATATTCCAGAGTTAGAATGGTTATTAACACAACTGATCCTTTACCATCAATAGAGCTACAGGAGTCATCAGCAATTTTAATTGTCTTTCTCAAAGCATGGATAATATGTTGAGAAAGTTTGAGAGCATCCAGTCATGTGGTACGTGACACCTAAATCAATAATTCATGTAATAGAAAAAGAAGTGAGTGTCATAGGAGTGATACCTTAATGGACGTGGGAGGTTGACCGGCCGAAAGTAAATTAATTGGATCCGAGCAATTTGATTAATTGCTCTATCTGACTCATAAGAGAATCGGACGATTCCAGAGTGTTCTGGATAAGAGTTGGTTGTACCGTAGTAAATTCAGATGTCGTAGTGAGACCCTTGGCAAAGGAGGATTTGGATGAAAGTTTGTATATCAATTTCCCATGAAGTTTCCAACACTTTTCTCGAGTATGGTTGGGTTTGTGATAGTATTCACAATTGGACCCAGTGGCTAGAGAAAATTTTGACGAGTGTTGAATACTATTAGTGGCCAAGGCTGATGATTCAACTGAGGTGGAAGTGTCGAGCATCACATATCTCTGGCTCTCTTCGCATTGAATTTCAATGAAAGTAGTACGGGTGGAAGGAAGGGGATCCCGGCCAAGGATAAAGCCCCGGACTTAATCAAGTTCTTTGTTAAGACCAGCCAGAAATTGAAACATGCGATTGTTTTCTACAATTTTCTAGAATAGGGAAAGTTCCATGTGTAGTCATAATAAAGATCGCACTCCATTCATAAGGCCATCAAATCATTGTAGTACTAGGTCACTGTTCTTGATCTTTATTTTGATTCACAAATCTTCTTAGAAACCTCATAAAGTTGGTTGGAGTTTCATGCATCTGAGTAGGTATCACAAACTGCAGTCCATAGGGCACTGGCAGAATAGAGAAACATATACGAACGTGAATAGAGAACCATATACGAACGTCCGATCGTTGTTTCCATGGAGTCAATCAGTCATGACAAGACCATGAAATTTTTCACTTCCCACGTTTCGTAAGTCAGGTCAGTTTTAGGAGGTTTACGAATAATGCCCGTGAGATGACCAAATTTCCCGTGTTCCTTGACGAATAAAAACACGGCTTGAGACAATTGGAGAAAATTAGATCTGTTCAGTTTATGAGCGGTGATCAGAAAGTTCATGTGGTTTTTCGGTCCACCGATTTGCAGAGGAATTGAGATCGATGTCGACACTCCAGTGGACTCAAGCACATCATCGGGAAACGGCTCAGTGGTGGAAGAGTCTGTCATCATTCCAACCGAGCCAAAAGTTATATTAGGTTGCCGAGATAGGAAAAACTTGGAGAAAAACTGTCGGGAAGAAACCCTGGAAAAAACAACAAGGAGAATAGGCCGATAGACAGGCTTTGATCTGATGAGATGCAGCAAGCAACCAGTCAGCAAAGCAACAGTATCACAGTAAAACAACAGTGCGGCAAGACACGTATCGCGGTAAAGCAGAAGGTGCGATAAGGCAAGTAATGTGGCAAAGCAGTAATAGGTGCAGGAAGAGGTGTCACGGTAAGTAATGCGGCAAGTATTGTGATAAAACAATCGTAACAGAGGAGGAAACACAGGAAAACTTGCACTTGGCCGGCGGCTAGGGTAGAGGTTCTAAGGATATAGCCATGGCTCTGATACCATGTCAAATTTTAGAGAATATAACAGCATACTTTTATTGATAGAAAGAGAAGCTTAAATACATATTACGATGTCCAAATAAAGAAAAGACAAATTCATAAATTGACCAACTAAGAAATACATAAATATGAAAAAGGAAATAATGAATCAAATGAAATCAAATAACAGCTAATAATAACTGTAGCAGTAATTAGCATAATGATTAGGCTAATAATTCTAATAGAATTATGTCCCCATCTGGAAACCCAAGGATGCCTTACAAAGCAGTACGGATGTCAAAGTGTATATTGCTAAGGTTTCTCAAATTGTATCTTGGCAGAATCTTAAAATTCAAAGATACATTTTTATCAAAAAAGGTAAAAGCTATAATAATTTATCAAAAATTAAAAAAAAAAATTCAGGATGGCTTAAAGCCCTTAATCAAACTTTATTTTTAAGCTTCAGCTATCTAAAAAAGGAATCCTTAAAAAAACCTGTTTAAAAAAATGCAAAACATGATACTTAGTAGAATAAAGAGAGAAAAAATAAAGGTTACCGCTGGGTTGTCAAAGCATAATGAGAAAGTGGTTGAAATGTTCACTTGTAAAATTTACAATGTTAATACAAAAACATTAAAACTCTACATCCGAGAACAAACAACATTTCCTGCTTAAAATATGATAATGTGATACATTGCCATGAGAGGTCAACAAAACCTGCAAGTAGATCTTTTGTTCTTGCTTCCAAGGACATGCATGTACAAGTTTGTTCAAATCCACATCTAGTAATGGCACAACAAATTTGACCTCTTCTTGCTGAAAAATTAGGGGAAGGTCAAATGAAAATGGGTAAACGGAGCAGATCAAGAATATCTAATTATATCAAAAACTGGAATAAAAATTTGAAAAGTTCCAATCATATTATTGATAAATATAATAAAATCGAACTATCTATCAAAAAGGCATACCTTGTCAGGCCCAGAAATCAAACTGACTTCGATTCCCTGTAAGAAAATGGATAAATTTTATTCGGGGAGAAAATCCAATTAAATTTAAGTATACAAATGAAATTGAAATTGAATGCCAAACTCATGAGAAAAAAAAGAGTATTTGTGAATGGAAAAAGAATGGCAAGTAGAATTACTATTACAAATAGCAAGTAAATCAGCAGTCAGAAAACATTAAGAGCAAACAGAAAATTTTAGTGAATAGAAAAACATTTTCCCTAATAACAGTTATATTCCAGCAACATCACTTTTTTTCTTGATCCTTAATCATGATTTTAAACATCCATGGCTCTTGGAAGCTATTAAACATGTTTAAATCACCGTGATTCATGCTTCTTAGGTACCCATATGCTCGATCGAAAATGCATGTGCATGAGTGCCATTGAACGTTTTCCATTCATCATACCTCACCATGAATACTTTTTTCATGATTTTTAATCCTCAAACCATGCCCATGCCCATGCATGCTTAATAGTTGTAATGGCATAATCATTACCGGAAGGTTATAAGAAGCTAGATTGAGATGTGTGTGGTGCAGTGATGTTCAATGGCATAGATCTATCATGGGTCTATGACTACAAATTTACTTATGGCAACAAACTTCTTCTAATGATGATTACTACCCACTATAAAACATATTGAAATTATATTAGTAAACTAATACATCCTTGCATCATCTGCTTCATGAAAATACCAAGTTACCACATGACACTTATTGTAGCCTTTTAGGTGCTATTATGTTTGTTGTTATTTCTCCTTTTCTACAAGTTGCACAATTATCTCGATTTCAAGATGGCGGTGTGCACAGCTATTCTGACCAGTAACAGATTTCTACACATGTTGCAAGTTTAAACATCGATTCACGCATCTTTTAGTCATTGAATTAGAAAAATAAAGTTCACTTAAAAAATACTAAGCATCAATTTTCTTTAATAAATTTATGAATGGGTTGGTTATGTTGAATTAAGAACTAATAACTTTATGAGAAATAGGTATACAACCAGCATAGACAAATAAATAAATAAATATACTTTAATGATAAAAGAAGAACAATATGTAGGTGAACTAAAAAAGCCATACAAATTTCTTTCAAGTTTCTTACTTCTAAATTTCATCATCCCATTCAAGCTCATAAAGATTGAAAAGCATGATGATTAAAAAAGATTTAAAGCAATTAATGAATACACCATTGCCAAGGACACAATTAAACAATTTTATAGACAAAATATGTCAATTCGAAATAAGTGAGTACACCAATATGCATGCATGTGCATTCTTTTTATTACTAGGTTGGATTACTGGCTTTAAAAGCCTACTAGTATGTCAAGCATTTATGCAAAAAAAAAAAAAACATTATTCATTTCTTATTCCTTGCCTTGGGCAAATTTAATAAACAATTAAGGTTGAATAGTTTCTGCTACAAAAAAAAATTTTGAAAACCGCTGTCATTATGCCTTGCATATTGGCATAATACGATTTATAAACTGTGGAGCAGCTTCAAATTCCACTATACAAGTAGCAGGTATAATTATTTTAATTATTGGAGAATTTTTCAACTATATAATTGGGCATAGGAAATGAACAACTAAGCTTTAGAGATATGATTCATTTAAACCCAAAAATAAAACTCACCCAACACACTCAATTAGTTTGTTGGAACTATAATTAATCAAATATATACAGGTTGGACGTAAGGATACATGAGAAAAAACATATTTTGTTAGCCAGAGTGATTTTTCCTTTGTCAATGTTCTGAATTTTAATTTACCGATGACATAATCTTGTAGAAAAAGGTCAATCTTAATTTGGGATGTAATATGAAGTAAGCACTTAATTTCTCTTAATAGCAACATCCAGATCTAATGGCTTGCACACTATTCCAATACCGTAACGCTTGCCATTAAAAGATGAAAAAGAAAAAAAGTTCAAACGAAGCAAAGACAAGAAACTAAAGCCAAATTTAAGATGTTTCAAAACAATACAATAAAGAAGATTGTTATAGGATTTAGGCTTACTCTTTTAGGATCTAGAGATAGAGAAACATCAATGAAAATAACGTAAAAGCCTCACACCCTGTAATTAATAACAACATCCAAAACTCTTGACAATAGTACCAATTATTACACAAATAATGCAAAGCATCTCTTGAACCAACCTCCCGGGAGAGAATTGTGCTTATCTCAAACTTCAATCTTGCATCATTAATTTCCCCCACACGCATCCTCTGATATTGCACATACAAGCCCCTACAAATAAGAAAAAACCAACAATAAGAACCTCAAAAAGATTGTGAGCCAGGCGCTCGAGCCAAGTACCTTATCTCAAGCACAAGCCTCAAAAGCCTGGAAGGGTCTTTGCTATTCCATTCCCACAAACTGCCTCTCATTAACCGGGCCTGACATTCCGCTCCCCCTTCACGATCAAAAACTGGAAGAAGCGGTCGGAATTCTTCATCATCTGGAGAGAAGACAATGTCGGGTGCCGAGAGGGGATAGAAGGCATTATATATAACATCCCCTATCACAACAAAAAAACATCTAGTGAGTTTAACCAAAGTAAGAGAAGAAGTAAAGCAATGAGAGTTGAGAAACCACGCTAAGAAGAAATTTACTCACACTTAACGTAGTCGAGGCAAAAAGGGACTAAGAGGGTAAAACGGTCGGAGAAGCGGGAATTCTTACAACCAGACCAAATATGTTCGACCTGAGGAATAGCATGATTAGATCTTAAAGTTAGGGTTCGGGCTCAATCGGAGTTAGTGATTCTGAAAAAGAAGTTTTCAGCGTAAATGGGTACCCTAAATGGTAGAGGGGAATGGACAAGGAGATACTTGAGCTGCGCGGAGATAGGAGGTGGAAGTGGCGGCTCTGAAACCATGGCCGTGGCATCAACCGAGAGCGAACGATTGGGAAGTGAAAGTTTAGGAACTGGAACTTGCCTGTGAGAACAGCTTTAACTTTGTTTAAGAGGATGAAAATATTTCTCATTACAACTCATGAGTTAAACTACATGTGTATCCAATCAAATACCGTCATGTATAAACTCCAGCCCCATCTATTAAAGAAAATAAAAATAAAAGAAATATAATTTTAATTTGTATTCGCGACCCAGCCCGAGCGAAAACCTAAACCCGCCTAATATGTCTTTTCATTTTCTCCGCACTATTACGAGTTTAGGGTTTAGTCTCTATATTGTCTTTCTCGGTGAAGCGCATCCTCCGGCGAAACCCTAGGCATTCTACGGCACTCAAGCGAAGGTGACCATGGCGTCCAGTCGTTCGTTAAAATCACGGTATGCATCTAAACCAGAGTAATGAAATACAAATAGCACATCAGTAACACAACAATAACACAACAATACTACATCAATAGCATAGAACACAAGTAACATACCAGTAATACATAAAAAATACAACAATACCTCACAAGTAACACAACATGGCTTTGAATCATTAGCACAGAAGAAACCCTACTCAATAACTGCATAAAACCAAATTCGGTGGACTCACAGATATCTCAATGACATAGTTTTGATGTGTTATTCTTGTATTATTCGTGTTTTATTCATATATTATTTTCATGTGGTTTAACTATGTTACTGGTGTGTTATGTGTTATTTTCGTGTTATTCATGTATTATTGATGTGATATGTTTCTGTTTAGGGTGATTGTTAATTAATGACATAGTTTTCATGTGTTATTCTTGTATTATTCGTGTATTATTCATGTATTATTTTCCTGTGTTTTAATTGTGTTACTGGTGTGTTAATCATATGTTATTTCTGTGTTATTCATGTATTATTGATGTGATATGTTTCTGTTTAGGGTGATTGTTAATTAATGACATAGTTTTCATGTGTTATTCTTGTATTATTCGTGTATTATTCATGTATTATTTTCCTGTGTTTTAATTGTGTTACTGGTGTGTTAATCATATGTTATTTCTGTGTTATTCATGTATTATTGATGTGATATGCTTCTGTTTATGATGATTGTTAATTAATGACATAGTTTTGATGTGTTATTATTGTATTATTCGTATATTATTCATGTATTATTTTCTTGTGTTTTAACTATGTTACTGGTGTGTTACTCATGTGTTATTTCCATGTTATTCATGTATTATTAATGTGTTTAGGGTGATTATTAATTAAGTGTACTTCATGTGCTATTTTAGTGTTGTAATTAGTTATGCTTCTGTATTATTCATGCTTCTGTGTAGGATTATTATTGTGTTATGTCGGTGTGTTACTCATGTATTATTCTTGTCTTATTCATGTATTATTCATGTGCTTCTGTTAAGGATGATTGTTAATTTAGAATAACACATCAATTTCATGTGTTATTCTTGTGATTGTTATTATAATAATGTGTTATTGTTTTTTTTAATTTGCAGGATCATGAGTGCAAGGACTTTCAACTGTAGATGTCGTCCATCTGCAGTGAGAGGTGCCTTGGATGCAATGTGAGATCTGCTTTTAGAGAAGACTGTTAATAATTTAAAGAAAATTAGGGTGTTCAATTTCTTTGACATTCCCCGATATCCCCAGGACAATGTCATGACTTTACATATTATGAGAGGTTGGGATAATGAGAGGGGGGGTCTTCCAAATGGGTGGAAATGAGGTTAAGTTACATGCTGACCACGTGACTTTGTTGATAGGGATGCCAAACAGAGGAGAGTCTGTTTCATGGAAGAAATGACCCCTATCAAATGTGGATGCCAGACAAATAAAGAACCAACCGACAAACTTTTTTGCAGAAGGAGCTTCCACCCTTTCTTTTGAGCAGTTGTATTTGAAATTTATACTAACTAATTTATTTTTTCCTTCAAGCAATTTTCATATGCATGCAGAGCTATCTCGTTTTGTTGTAAATGTACAAGCTTTTCCGTCCTTTAATTGGCATGATGTCATATGTGATATTATCATCGATCAAGTGAGAATCGCCTCCATGAAATTAAGGCAGGAAAAAGGGGATTGGGATATTCAAGGATTTGTATTTCTTTTAACGGTAATTTAACGGTAATTAATGAAATATGTTCCACCAGATATAGTAATTCTTAGAAAATAAAGGGAGCAAAAATTGTTGTATTAACTTTTGCATACATGAAGCTTGAGGTGAGCTTATAATCAAAAATTGGTGTCTCAATTCAGACATTCAAAATCTTTAAATAATGCTCTACCAGATATAGTAATTCTCAACAAAATATGGGGAATTAAAAAAAAAAAAGAAAAAAAAAAAAAAGGTCTCCATGAGAAGAAGCTTGAGGGGGCTTTTTATTACAGCTCGTTGGCACCTCTGTTTAATAGTTTTTTAAGAATACTTGCAACAATTTTGACGAATACATTTTTATTGTAGGTTAATGACATATTCTTACATTTGAGGGACGATGAATTACAACTACTCGAAAATCCAGAGCAGGGACCACCGAGTCCTGCAAGGCAACTTCCACAACACGAAACTACTGCAGGATCATTTTCACCCAGATCGTATGCCAATGGTACAATTGTTTCTAGTGATATAACCCAGTACCTGGACATACGACGGAGAGTGCTGATTTTGGGGTACCATATCAGATGCTAAAATCTCAAGAACAAATAAGCTTAAATATATAAGATACAGTGACTGGTATGAGTAGACAGATGAATAATGTGGTAGAAGCATTGTCCACCCTGACAGGTTTGGTGCACAGATTATTTGGAACTAAGGCTGACAATGTTGTTGAGAAAACAATATCTGATACAAGTAAGAAGACCAGCAGCAGTGGACATCAGCAGAAGAGGAAAGTGGACCACCCTGTATCTTAATACCAGTTCAATAGAAGACTTAGAAAAAACGATGATGTGGATAATGTTTCTCGTGTAAATATAGATGTTCTCGAAGAAACAATAAGACATGCACAATACACTGATTTTTTGTTCCCAAGTACAACCTATGTGGATGTTGTTGATCCTACAAAGGATATTGTGCATTCATTTGATCCTGTACATACAGATGTTCCCGGACAGGCCCAAGACGCTAAAGAAACAACAAGAGAAGCATAAGACGCAGATTTGGGTGATGAGACAGATGAGACAATCCATGAAGAAGACCCCGAAGAAGTAGAACAAGCAATAAAGGGTGTTCTTAAATCTCTGTCTCATTCGGTGAGTACGTTATTCTAATTTGTACTATATGATATACATTCCTACTTTATTTTTTCTAACAATATTTTCTTAGACGCGTCTTTTGACTTCCGCTGTAAATACTAATTCAAAAAAGGGTGATTCCCAAGAGGTCCAAGTTTCAGATGAAAATGTACATACTGAATTTAATTTAGATGAAGAAAGCTTAGATCCAGCTGGTTATCAACAAATTTCGAGTCAAAGCCACAGTTCTAATGCAGACAAATATGTTATAGTTGTAAGAAAAAAAATGTAGCTATGTGCTTCGAAGCATACCTTATATGTTCTTATTTTGTGTTATCCATGGATTGTTTTCTTTTGCAGCTACGTCATCTGGCTTCAATTATTGAGTATCCTGGTAGGTCATTGATACCAATTAAAATGCAGGAAGAAATAGACCAGTGTCTATCTAAATACACTGGACGGTAAGTAAATGTTCAACACTCTTTTAATGTTAGTAATTTTGTTGTATTTAATTAAAACAAACTCTCTTTCTTATCAATGCAGCGACGTTATAATTAATAAAGGTCATATTTTGATTTACCGATCGGCACTCGAAGACATACTATTAAATAAGTGGCTTGCAGACGAACATGTTGATCTATTTGCTATCATGTTGCGCGAAAGAACTTTAAGGAGACCAGAGTTGTACCGACCTTACCTGTATGTTTCACCAATGTATGGGGTATGTTCAACAACTTATATTTATTCATACAAGTTTAAGTCATATATTTCCTACACATTTAAAGTAATAATTTTATGTAGATGCATAAAATATATGGTAGTAAACCCTACGTGAAAGATATCATCAACGAAGCCATAAAAAAAAGCCATTTTCTTTCCAATCATTCATAATCAGCATTGGATCTTGTTGATTCTAGATCTCATGTTGAGAAAATGGTGAATATACGACTCACTTCCTAACCAGATACATAAGGCTGTCGCTACAGAAGTTGTAAGTATATTCAACTCAATTAAAAGTAACACAGTAGCATTCAAAGAGTAACACAATAATGTTTCAACCATGCAGGTGAATATGTTTGCTAGAGATGCCGCTGATTTATGCTGGATTTATTTGCAGCCAAAATCCATAAATGGTCCCTATTGATTACAAAGCATGTACCCTCACAAAGGAATAGTGTTGATTGCGGCATGTTCGTCTGTAAGTCCATGAAACATTAGTGCAGGCTGACGAAGTCGACTAGAGTGCACATACAAATTGGCAGGATGATATGGAGCGATTTAGAACTGAATTTATATATGACATTTGCATACTTTCGAGGACTTCTGAGTAAATTTTTATATTTTTACTTTGTATATTTTGTATAGGTTACTGTATATGGAATAGCTTCATTGGAATAGTATATCGAATATTTATAAAGGTTACTGGCAAAATGTTTATATCTTGGTGAATGTTAGTATTTTTATGAATTTTTTTTTTGAGTATTTTTATGAATGTGAATGTTAGTATTTTTATGAATTTTTTTTTTGTATAACACTTGAGTAACACGCTGATCAACACCCTCAGTAACACGTCATTTACATGTCATTACACGCTGAATAACACGAGAGTAACACGTAGATAACAAGCTGAGTAACACGCTGAATAACGCGAGAGTAACACGTAGATAACACGTGAGTAACACGAGAGTAACATATAGATAACACCCTGAGTAACACAAGAGTAACACATAGATAACACGTGAGTAACACGCTGAGTAACACGTCAGTAACAGGCTGAGTAACACACCAATAAAAGGCTGAGTAACACGCTGAATAACATTAGAGTAACACGTAGATAACACGTGAGTAACACG